CCCCAAAACCCCAAAACCCCAAAACCCCAAAACCCCAAAACCCCGTCATTTTAATAAATTATTGAAATACTAATTGATTGTAAGTCGCTATATTGATGAGAGACCTTCTTAGGACTTATTGGGTCGGTGCAAGGAGTCTTTAGTACAAAGAATGGAAGCCTTAAGGAGTCACAGGAGTGAATATCTGCTTAGTTCTGATACAATTTTGGAACATTTCTTATTGAAAATTTTAGAAATAGGGTTTTATAGAGTTATAAGACAATCTGCTGTGGGCTCTTTTTGGTCTTCTGAAGTCTAGAGTGTTGGTCTCCAAGCCAGTGGAATTGAGAACTATACAAAGATTTTATAAGAAACTTCGTAGTACGAGGTGGAGAGCATACCTTAGGTGAATCTCCTTATCGTGGTACTTCTGATGATGATTAGGAGACAAGGCAGTAGCTTTTGACTGCTTGAGTCCAACTCTGGTGGTTCTTGAAATATAAGATGAATTTCCCATTCTGTCTTTGATGTCATTAGTTGAATGAACTAAGAGTTATGGAATATTGCCTACCTTTGACTGGACTCTGGATGCTATTTTGTTGGCTATTTTTAAACATATTTTGCTTTGTTTCCTCTTTTACCTCTTGCTTAATTCCTTGGTTTCTAGAATTTAAACGAAAATATACATAATTCTAATCTTATGTTGTTTGTTTCTTTTCTTGAGAGAAAACAAAAGATTTGCTATTAAAGGTTAGACAAAATCATACCAATACTAAAGGCAAAACTGGTGATGAAGATAGCTAAAATGACACTCATGAAGAGATATGTAGCCTTTCCATTCCAATCTTTTCTTTTGTTGAAATAGAACAGCACTGAGGTCAGGACTAAGTAAAGTCCTTCATTGATAATCTCAATAACTTGGTCTCTAGTGTTCAGGAAAGGTCTCTGTATAAGAAACACTAGAAGGTACAACCCAATGATGGAAATGATAATCATTAGCTTATGTGTTAGTGAATAATCCTTCAGGAAGAAGATGACTCCTCATACCAAGAGTCTCTTCAAGAAGAAGAGGGATACATATAGCCTCTGGAACTTATAGGGATTTAAGCCTTGAAAACAAGCTCTTCATTTCTGTAAGCTCTGCTTAAACTCCCCTTCATCGCTTTCTGACAAAATGAGGAAGACTAGGGAAAATCATAGGATAAATATTAAGAAGAAGAACACTAAGGATGCTGTAAAATGTGATGAACTCTTGCCTTTTCCTAAGTTCACCCACCCACTTAAATCCCACATGGAAATAATGCAGAGATACAGATATGTCAGCATGATGAATCTTATGTAAAACCCAAAAGTCATCGCTCTGAATAATTTGTTGATAAAAATGCTTCAGCAGCTTTCTTTATGAGTTCGAGACATTGGAATAATAAACTTCAGAATCGTAATCAGCAGGTGGAAAAGTAGTATTATGATGCTCATTCAGACTAAACAGAGGAGATTGATGAGACAACTTCCGTTGGAAAGAACTTCTAGTCCCCTCTTGTTGTTGTTCATTGGGTAGCCATAAGTTGTAGCCAGGTCCTGAAAAAGAGCTGTATCTTCAATATTTAAGAAATTAAATGAAAATAACATACTTTCAGTGTTTGAAATTGTTTTCGAAACAAGATTCGGAAGATATGCCCCTAACTTAGATAGCAAAGGTAGATTTTGACAGACGAATACAGAGTTCAACATTGTATGAGAGTATTTCGCTGATGAAACACCCACAAGGAAATTTAAGAAGCTAGTTCCTATTGTTGATGTGAAGATTACAGAAGTATATACACTTGATTCAGCATCATTATAACTATCTGGTACAAAGACACAAGATGTTTTGCTTTGATCTGGTTCGTACCATTCACTACATTTTGATCAACTATTTTTAGTTTGAGCAGTTCCTCCATTACATATGTACTCATCTTCTATTTGTCAATCAGAGTTGCATCCATCTCCATCTACTAAATTACCATCATCTCATTCTTCGTTTTTGACTCTTAATCCATCTCCTCAGAGGGGTTCACATGAAGTCCTTGCAGAATTTGGAGGGAATCCTTGAGGACAAGGAGATCAGGTATCAAAAGTGGTAGCAGTGCCTCCTATTCATATATAGTTAGGCTCAGGGTTTCAGTCAGAATCACATCCATCTCCGCTGTCTATATTAGAGTCTTCACAAGCTTCTGTCGAATGTTTCATTCCGTCTCCTCAACTTGCAATTCAGTTAGATTTGTGGTTATTTGGAGATGTTCCATCAATTCATTGAACACAAGTGTCTTTTTGAGTTGGAGAGCCTCCAGCTCAGCTATGCATTGACTCAATAGCTCAGAGAGAGCTGCATCCATCGAAGTCATCGCTATTGTCATCGTCACATTCTTCAGGATCAACCTTGAAACCATCACCACAGACTGGTTGTCAGATTGGCCTTCCTGAAGAAAATATTTTGTATGTTCCATTAGTGCACAAGATAGATAGCTCGATCTGGTCGCCAACATACTCAGGACCAAAGAATGCAGAGGAAGGGATGATTTCCTCTGGCTGACCTGGATACATCCAGGTCAGGTTGATAAGTGCGTCATTTCCTGTCTGTCCATATTCAATATACCCTTGGTAATACTCTCCAGCAGTTAGAGATATAGTACCAGTAAAGGTACCACATCACCCTCTACTAGAGACAACAGTATTCCCAAGTTTGAAGATAATGTCATCATCAACATCTCCAGAGAAAGTGAAGGTGCCTGTGGCTGGGGCCAGTAGCAGGAAGTAAAACTTTATTCCGATATAGCTCTGCTTTGAGTTATAGATATTCCCTGTTCCCCAATTGTGGTTTATAGTAGAAGTATATTCTTGTAACTCAGATACACCTGTCATTGCCTTGTTAGGGTAATATTCAGTCCAGATTCTTCCAGAAGTGTATTTATATACATTTATTGTGATATTCCCAGGTCGTGGAGAACTAAAACTATAAGTGTAGGCATCAATGCCATTGAAGATCATCCTTCTTCTGATATCATTGTCTAAGACCTGCTCCTGGTAGACCACAGAGTTTCAGTCATAGTTAGGACTATTCCTTGTGCACTTGTTCTTAATCTCCACGTAATAGATTTGTCCTGAATTTGTATCCTGGGCTGAGATAATGATAGCAGAATCAACAGTTATTTCAGCAGGAGAGATTGCTAATAAGGTTATGCATGAGAAATACTTGTCGATAGGCTTCTTGGTGGGTTCAGATACACCTTGTGGTCAATGCTATTCTCAAAGATTTTCTCATCTAGAATAAGCCTCATATGAATGATCTTTTGGAGTCAATATTTGAAACTGATAAAATTGAGGTATGAAACTGGTGGTACTAACTCACCTTTTGGACTTTGTTTATTCTGATGTTTCTCTGAAGCCCTAAATATTAGATTACTTATGAATTTAAGTAATGAGTGCAGTACCAAGCCTGAGGCTTGTTGAGGGACCATAAAGGTAGTTTTGCTAAGAATCTGATACAATTTAGATAATTAGTTTCATATTAAAGATCATGAGGAATAATATATCAAACCTTAGTCTTACATTTGTCTGCTTACAAAGAGCCCTGGTTCTTTTGGTGCTTCTATTGAGGTTTGCTTCGATACTACAACCTCTATACGCTTTGTAGGAGGTTGGCATGCTATAATTTTAGTTAGGATCACTTGGCCAAATTCAGGAGTCAAACTACAAATTCTTTTCAAGTTGTCTGTTAAATATAATCAGATTGCTACCAGAAGCTGGCTCTATCTCAAAAATAATCCTGTGCTAACCTGGATCTGGGCAAATGAGCTGAAGAGAATATGCGTTCCTTATGGAAGTTTGAGTTTGTGTTAGAAAATTTTAGATTTGAACTTATGGTTTAAATTTAAGTTATTCTCAAAATAATATTCAGAAAATTTCCATGATCTTAAGATGCTGTCCTCCTAGGTATAACATCCCAAGTTAGGTATGGAGCATAGTCTAGGTTTAGTTCTATCTATTTGCTGATTCTTTTCTTCATACAATGTCTATTATATGTCTAAGAAATCTGCAGCTCCAAAGATGCTTTCTGACAGAGGAAAATGTGATCAAACCAATCTTTCTGGCTTATAACTCTCAGTACGAGTGGTGCGCAATTTCGGATAGTTAGCAAAGCAGGTTCACACAAAGAGATTTTGCTTATTTGGAATAACCTACCTGTTATTAGCAGAAGCAGAAACAACATAGAGAGCTTAAATAGTGACTGAAAAGGATTGAGAAGCTTGAGCTGGTTTGACATTTTTGGGGATTATATATTTTTATGAACTTTTTAAGCCTTTTTGATATAAAAGGGGTTTTGGGGTTTTGGGGTTTTGGGGTTTTGGGG